CATTCCTGGTTGCATATATACACACTTGTTTGTTTGCCTGAGTCAGCTAGCTAGCTGCAATTGCTCTTTGCTCTCTTCATGCTTAATAAACCAGACAACATATTCAAAACATGTTTGGCTTGGCTGCTCTGTTCTTCAGATGCAACTGGCTCTGTTTCTCTTGTTCCGCTTTACTTTCTGTTTCATTCTTCGGTTTATTGTATTGCTCCGTTTGTCGCCGATTTCTTTAGTTTTCCGATTGCTATCCATTTTCCTTTTTCAACGTCTGTCCGATCTTCTTCTTGTGATTATCTTGCACTCAACAAAATTGCTCTTAATATCAGAATAATAATGAACATTCGAGCTGCTTCTTAAACGTGATGTTGCCAAAATTCCGCTATTCAATTCATAAAAAATGAATAATTTCGTTAGAAGTTAGACTATATTCGCACATCAAACCCAATATGGGAACTCTGCATATTGCTCTGTATTTTCCTTCTCAGATTTTGGGTTAAAGGATCGCCCGTGTCTGTAATATACCTTGAGTTGCAGATGAGAATGGACGACAGATTTCTTTTTACTCATTTCGGATGTACCGTGATATGGTATCAGAGTCTGGAAACAATGCAAATCAGGTCTAAGCTACCCACTCATGTCTTCCCACACAAACAGATCCTCCGAACCGACCCCGACTTCGAATCCGACCATGGCTGCGACAACTCCAATGGTAACCAACATTGTTGCCACTCGACGAACAATCTCTCCCTATGACCACACCCAACGATAATCCGGGTCTCATCCTCTCGCAACCGTTGTTGAGAGACGACAATTATGATGAATGGGCTGTCAACATTCATCAGACTCTCAAGTCTCGAAAGAAGTTTGGTTTTGTTGATGGATTGGTCCTGAAATCTGCTTTGAAGATTGAGATACGAACAATGCTCTGCTCATATCATAGATCAAAAACACTCTGGAATCGGATCTCCGATCAGACGTTGTTCACCGCGAATATGCGAAAGATCGATGCACCTCGCCTTCTGAAGCTACACAACGACTTGGCGAATTGCCGACAATAAGGAATGACTGTCGAAGCATATTTCAGCGAACTCACTAAGTTGTGGGAAGATGTCATGCATTTTCGACCCTAAACCCTAAACTCTAAACATCGAACCTCCTCTCCAGACAACCCTTGCCGAGCCTCGAAGAAGCTTATAACTTGGTCATACAAGAAGAAGACTCCAAACGCATCACTGCCATGACTGATGACAGGTCTGACGTTGCTGTTTTTGCCATGTCTGTTGCTGGAAACGAAGACTCGGCCGAAACCAGAGGAGAATGTCAAAGAGATATTCGGGATCCATAGGCTGACCATGGAACGTTGTCTATCCTTAATTTGTTTGATACGTAGTTTGAAACGCCAAGCTTCGTGGGTTGTGGAAGCTTGTGCTATGAGAGGCTTCATGGATGGAGATTGAGAGAACACCAAATATAGCACGAGAACTCTTAAGGTACACACTACGTATTATTATATGAGATATGCACTAATAGAAAAAGACAAGGACCGATATGTATGCAGTTAAACTATGTAAAGGAGTAGATTGATTCACGTTCTCCGACAGGAAAAAAATATGTCGGTGACTGAATGAATCTGGATGGGAGATCACAAAAACTGTCTCCGTCTAATTTGGGTCCTGTACTAAGTAAACCTATGACTCAGATACCATCGAACATGCAAAAGAATATAAACCGGGTGACGCGGAGAACTTATTAACCTGGGGAGTTGGCTGCCTAATAATCACTCCCTTGTTCCGAAATCACGGTAAAGAAAGGAAGCTTGGGGGACAAGCCACCTTCTCAGTCTTGGTCCTTCCAGAAGAAAGGCCTCATGGGGCAAGAAGGCGAGGAAAGGGAGGAAGAGTCTTCCGGCTGTGCATCACAGGGTTCATGTTGATTCTGGTTGGAAAACGAAAGCTGAGGCTGCAGCAGAAGATTGTTGGTTGTATCCAGATCGTCCCAAACCGGACTTCCAGGTCCCCAGCCCTCTGGAATCGCATTGAACCATGCCTCAGCCATCTCTCGCCACCCCATTTCCCCAGCATCGCAGACGACACCTTCCCCTGCCACAGCTTCGCTAGATCCGATACCCCAGTCTTCGTCAAGATTATCTACTCTAGATTCATTAGCCGCCTCTTGCTCGTTCTGCAAGGTTTCCTTGCTCGGCTCATGCAAGGCACGGCTTACTTCCTGTTGTTCCTGATGCGAAGAGTTTGATGCATTCTCTTTATTGACGAACAGCTCGGGAAAATTAAGCCGAGCGTTTTCCCCTCTGAGCTTGAAGGCCTCACGGTCATAAGCCAAGGCGGCTTCTTCGGCTGTATCGAAGGTGCCAAGCCAGAGACGCGTCCTGTTACGTGGTAGACGGATCTCGGCAACCCACTTTCCCCAGTGCCGTTGCCTTACTCCTCTGTATAGCTTTGTGGCACTGAAGGGCTGAAGGGACGGCCTCAGCTGACCACCCTCTTGGCCTAAGCTGTTCATCATCGCCAGTCTTCCTCTCGGGCTCCAATACTGAAGAAGATACTGCCGCTGCTGAGCCATTGGCTGCTGATGTTGAGGAGCAAAGGAGATAATCCGCTGCTGGCTTTGGCTTGGCTGGTTGGTGCTGGGAACGTATCCTGACTGTTGTGGAAGCTGGATTGATGGATCGGGGAAAGCAGAGACAGAGGAAGGAAATGGCGAGGGTAGGAGATAATAGGGGATATGCCGATGATCGGGGCTCCGTATCTTCTTCAAAGCTCTCTGGGACGTTTCTCCTAAAACTGACTTCCACTGCATAGACCTCTCCGAGCCTGAATCGACGTCTTTGCCCTTGCTGCTGCTGCTGCTGATCTTATGCTCCTCCTCCATCTCCGAGCCTGAATCGACACTCTTTTCTGTTCTTTGCCGCGGCCACCCTTGACTCCTCTACGTGAAGAAAAACGAGATGTACGATGGCCACTGATCAGAAAGTTGGAGAAAAGGAATCAGAAATGATATCCAGATAAGCTTTCTGGTCAAAGATCCCGACTTGTGATTTTTAAAAACCGTTAATTATTGAAAATCCCATTCAGGAAGATCTGTGGAAACTGTTGAAGAAGATACAGAGAGAGGGGGATTCTGTCTGGGGAAGAAACATCGGATGTTTGGTGAGAGAGAGAGAGAGAGTCTTTTTAATGCTCTGTATTTTCTGAAACATGGGTTTATAACAGAGCATATAAATATTTGTGACCACTTCCTTTTTTTTCTTTTTTCTTTTTTTTTGCATCTAGTTCCGTCCATGTTTGAATTTTAAAATCGAGACAGCTAGGGTTTTATCTACGTTTTCGCTTTCAATAATTTTTTATGAATTATAAAACATCCATAACCGATTCTATTGGGAGATTTCAAAAAAAATATGCTGACTTTAATTCTTATCAATCGAAGAATAAAATTTAGTATTAAAAATCGAAAGTCCAAAGTACGTGAATAATTGTTTATTTCTAATAATAGTAAAATCTATCTGCAATATTAATATCATCAACAAGATTCACATCCGGACTCGTGATGTTATTCTCTAGACTAATCAATGGAAGCCCTTGCACGGTGGGTCCCCACAGGCACAGCATTCATCTCTGTCTTTAAAAAAAAAAAAATCTACCTTTGCTTCGAATCTAATTCATGCCTCCTCCGTCCATTGATTCACTGCCGACTAACTCGAGACCGGGACAATGTGTCCAGTGTCCGTACGATGACGTGGCATGCTCTCTTTTCTCCTCCTTTCGTTTTTGTTGTTGGGATGTTCCGAGTTTTGGACGGTGGGATATGCTCTCCTTCCTTTTATAATGCAACAACCTTAGTTTAAGCTAATTGATAAAAATGCAGATCTTTAATATATACATTAATTGCCATAATGATACAAATCATCGAATTATCCCGTTCTATAGGTCAATTATATTAATCAAGCCCTGCAAAGGAACAATTTCAATATTTGGTTTTCTTCCCCTTCTTGAATGTTGTTGGATTTTACATATAAAAAGTAAAAATATAAAGAAGTTTATAGATTCTTCAAATAAAGTAAAATAAAAAAGAAGCAGAAAAGCTGTTTGCGAAGGAAGGAATACAATATTGGTGCAATTATGTATGTATTCAATTGTTGCCGAAGAAAAAAATATCTCAGAGCAGTCAACTGCATGGACAGGCTGAGGGGTTTTGGTCGGCTAAGGGTGGCATGATTAAAGCTAAGCATGCACCATATATAATATAAATGCATTTTTTATAACAATGTTTAATTGGGGTTTAATGAGGATGACGCTCGGGTTGGCAGCTGGTCAAAGTCAGCTTTGACTTTGATAATTTTGTTATAAATCTTCGCCCACACGGGATGCACTCAAAACCGACCAAGTTTGAAATACAAATGAAAATTCACTTTTTTTTTTTGTTATTGGAAACCGAAAGCATCAATTTCTATTTCGATCATAACCTTTTCTTCCAAAATATCCGTGTCTCTTAAAGGATTAAAAAAACAAACAATAAAGAACATTATTATATACTTATATTGTACATTCATGATGTTTGCTTTCATAAATTACAAAAAAAAACAGATAAAGTTAATCATCTCGAATTTATATTTTTCAATATTGAACAAAAATAGTTCATTACAATCACAAGCAGATGATATATGAGCAAGTAAAACATACTCTCTCTGTTTCAAAATATTTGTTGTTTTAAATTGTTTCACATTTTTTTTAAAATGGATCAAAAGTCATATATACCCTTATTTAATAATAAAAACAATGCAATCATTAATAATGTATTGGAATTTGGTAGGGATAAAATTGAAAACTATTATAAAAAATGTCTTGAAAATGTAAAACTATAAATATTTTGAAATATAGAAAATAATCTAAAACTACAAATATTTTGAAAGTGAGGGAATAATAAATAATTTGGATATATAGGGATTAAACGATTAAGGGCAGGGACAAGGACAAAGCCACAGGAAAGAAGCCCCCAACTTTCGGCGTGAGGAAAAACAAACCCCAAAGAGACAAAAGTTAGTTACGAGAGATTCAATAGATTTTTGTCATGTAAGAAGTCGACAACTCATCAAGTCGTGTACCTGAACCAAAGTCGGTGAACAATAAATTAGATCAAAATGGATTAAAAATTATTTCTATCTCGAAAAAAATTAATGCTATAATATAATTTCTGATAACCATCTTTTTTATAATTTATTTTATTTATAAAATATTTTTTGAAATAAAAATAATAATATATTTACAGTTTCCAATGCAATGGAAAAAAGACTTTCCATTCGTTTTCCAAAACATTATTTAAGACACAAACAACGTAAAATAGTTTCTACGTATCTACAAATTTTGTTGGATAAATAACAGTTATCTTCGATTTGAACCACCGAAATTCGATATTAATCGATCGTAATTTAAAACCATGTGGGCATTGATGCCTTCAAAGTTTGATCCAATCGAAAAATGAATGGATTTCTGGTCGTTTTAATAAATAAAATTCTGCAATCGATTTCCAACCGATTCAATTAAATCTTGATATCTTCCCATCGGACCGTTAAATCCGAAGGGTAGCAGCTAGGGTTCCTCCGTTATAAAAAAAAAAAATTTTGTGGAATAAACAAATCGAATTGAGTCAATATTTTTTTTGACTCATTTGGAAACAAACCTAACCGTATGAGCAATATCTTATTTCGATCAGAATCGAACTTAGTCGAGCTGGCTCGTTAGACAATTAGGTGTTTAGATTTTGATTGAAGAATGGACATTTAAAGAGAAAAATGATCCGATTGAACCGGTACAGTTTAATACCGATTTAATTTGTTGGCATGGTGCAGAATTATGACATGGTATGTGATGTGTACTGTCACATCGAATGATATTTGGAATTCCAAATGTTAAGAGGATCCAAAACAAATGACCACAAATTCGGACACGCAATGAATGAATGGTGCTTGTAATTAAAGAAGACAAAGCAATTCTCAATGTTTTCTGACCAAGGACTTCAATAAGGATACATGTTGTCTCTCCTGAGAGCCATGAACTTAGCTGCAATTTCATCGTAGTCAGGGAGCTTGGGATGCACGTGCTTTGGAACCATGATTCCGCACGAGTTTGACCCGTTGGACGTCGAGTGTTGTTTATTGGGGCACGTGGAAACATTGTACGGCTTCACCTGTTTCTGATGCCTTTTGCAGCCGTGTCTGCGGTAGTACACCACGCTTGCCATGTCGTTCTTCATTACAGTCTCCCATGATCTTGATCTCCTCCTTGATCTCCTACTCTTTCCTCCAGAGATTGACCCAGGTTTCTCGCTTTGGGACACTTCGTCCAAGCTCTTTTCATGAATATCCCTCACTCTCTCTACGAATCTGAACATTCTCTGATCCTTTGCCTTCAACTCTTCGATGTTATACTCGGGATATATCGTCGCTATTTCGGTATCATCTCTTCCCCTGTTACCCCTCCTCCCCACTTCTCCACCTTTCTCAATATCAAGCTCCGTGATGGTGAATTTATATACTTCTGCTTCATCGTAAGCGTCCACTTCTGCATGTTGCTCTTGACATGGAAAGGGCTTCTCAACTGAGAAACCAGCGGAGCAACTCATGATTTCTTTCCTCTCAATCTCTGCACTTTTGCTTTCTTTGACCTGTGCACGTTCATACATGAAATGGATACAAGCGACGCAAAAATGATGCCGAATCAGTCGAGCAATATATTTTCTTGATCTCTAAGAAAGCCCTAATGATATGCTGGATAGTTCATTTGCCCTATCCCTTCCTACAGAGCAAAGCTCCCTGTGGTACTCAGCTATAGATTTCTACTTGTTACATGAATAGCAGAAGAAAATGTGCAAATGTCACCTGTTTGTGAAACCCGGCAGTGTATTCAAGAGCCAAAACCTCTAAACCGAGGCAGTACTCCCTCGCTATTTCGTCAACCAATTTGGACTTAACATCATCCGGCACAGAGACTACACAGAGTTTCTCTTTGATCTGTGATTGAGGAACCCAAAGCACTAATGAATGTTTCCAGATAATCACTAATGAGAAAAAAAGCAAGAGACTGAACCTGGCAATTGACAAGATTGTCAGGCAGAAGATGCAGAGCCGTCGCCAGAAATCTTTGCCCGTAACGTTGTCCGAATAACTGTCTGATGCTGCACAGCTCGGGTATGTCTCCACACCTTGAAGAGGCAAATACAAGGCTCGAAACTGCTTCGTTGATATCATTAGGCAATTCTCTATTTCCACATACAAGTCTTAATTTAGTCAAAACTGCTTGTTAATAAACCTTTTGGCATCAAATACGACGATCAGGAAAGGATTCAATCCGTGGTTCGATATTCACAGAGCGCAAACAATCTTTCTAGTGTCAGATCCATGGATCAGAAAAAGGACTGACCTATGCCTTCGAATGTAGGGCATATGGATGATGATGAACTCGCTGAAGTGATCTAACAACTCATAAACCGCCATCAAGTTTTCATCTCTGAGGAGCTGCTCAGCCTGTCAGACCGTGAGTCTTTTCTCTCTCTCTCTCTCTCGATAAACAAACAGCTGAAATTGGGTTCTGAATGTTACCCGACTGAGTGCTCGATTTCGGTCTCCCATTCTGATAAGCTGAGCTACATCTCCCCTCAAGTGCCTCACAATGGCGTACCTCTTGTTCCTGAGCAGCTTCAGCCGGCACTGCACCTTCTTCACCATCCTTTTGCTGCCACCAATCCAAAAAAAAAAAAAAACTATTGGTACGCAAAGTATTGGGCAGATGGCGAAGTTGTATCTTTATGATATAATAAGCTTCTACCATTTGGAAGCGTTTCGCCAACCGAAGAGAAACCCAAACATCTCAGAAATGAGGTAGTGAGAAGGAGATGGTGATGCGCAAGTGAAGCAGATAAAGTTCCAAAAAAAAAAATAGAGTTCAGGAGAGAGTGGCACTCGGCAGTTACCCTTCCATCAACTGCTTCTCCATCTTTCTTTTCCCCTTTTTCTTTTTAATTACCATATTTTCCACTGTAATTAATAATTCACTACTCATTGCTTGGGGTGCCACTTTTTGCATATGAAACCTCAACTTACCAAAGATCAAAACAGTACGGATTTCGAAAACATTCTAGGCATTTATCGTGCATTCATGTCTGGATTTTGGAGATGTAATCATGCTCGAGTCCAAAGTATAAAATTCAGCCTGTTTGAGAAATTATAGAGCAGAGCAGAAGCAGGGGATAGATAACTCTCTTGGCCAAAGGAATTGGTAATCTAACCCACCATTTCCCTGTATTCACGCATCATCACCATCATCATCATCATCGTCATTCATCATTCATCCATTCATCATCATCAAAAGGTATATGCACATATGATTTATTTTTACGAAAATGCGTGTTAATAAGCTGTCAAAGGAGTGGGGGAGCATTAATGGAGTTTCACGTAGAAGAATGCCTGACTAACCTATGGATTTCATACGAGAGTTTCTCTCGAAAGAGGACACTCCCCAAGACCAAGGAGCACACAAAACCTTGAATGAGTGAATCAATGGTGGATGCCTTCAAACCTCATATTGAAGATCCTAACAATTCTTTCTTCTGACTCTCTCCAATTCAACCCTCCGCTCTTAATATGTTACCATGACCCCCCTCTCTCATGAAAGTATACTCTTCTCCTTCCCTTTTCTCAAGTGCATTGCACTGTCTAGGTAATGTGCCTAGCTATTTCTTCACGGTCCTGTTTGTCCTCTCTTTGCTTGAGAGAGAGATGGTGTCTTTCGTTTCTAAGTCTGTCTTGAGATGAAATCCAGGGGGTTTATTTGCATCCTATTCTAAAAACAAACATAATGTTTTGAAAAAAACATGTAGAAAACAACAGTGAATGCTTCAAATGACTGGTAACTGAGGAGAAAAAGGCGTCCAAAATCACGATACACCCATAGAGACAGGCGAAAGCGACCAAAATGGCCAAAAATGTCTGGTTCATTCTTTCATATATAGACCAGACTTTGCCTCAAATCATGGAAACACATGTTATGCTAAAGAAAACCCAAACCTCTAAGTAGTAGTTCCCCAGTTCGTCGTGGAATGTTCCAAGTGGATTAAGATTCTTACATAGATTCTCCAAAAAGAAAGATCATTGCAATACAACACAAATAAATCAGATGAAACAAAAGAGATATGTGACAGACCCTCGGTACTCATGGTACGCAAGGCTGAGGCCGAGTAGGCATCTGCCGGGTCTCGGCCGAGTAGCCTTGCCTATGCGCCGAGGGGTATGGCAGTGCATCACGGGAAGGATGTAAGACGAAATTATCAGAGGCAGATTAAACAAACGATACAAGTAACCTTAGTATTGCCAAGTCAAAGAAGAATGAAAATGTATCAGAGACAATTGCCAGGAGAAAGAGAGCGCAAAAGCAGTGAAAGAATTATTAGCTACAAGGCTCGAAAAAAGTACCAGAGAACCGCGATTCTTTTCATCCCCATGTGCCCCTATCAGCTCAATCCAAATCCAAATCCAAATCCTGCGCATTGTTAATTCCAAAAATCGATTTCATTCAATTGACAACGCCAAGCGATCGATGATAATTAACGATTCCACCGCGTACCAACCAAAAAATCCTGACCAGTAGTATATCATATCTGAACATGAGCTATGGATGTAGGAGTTGCAGAATTTATCACTACACCTAAATAATGAATTTGAAGAAAAGAAGAAGATAATGTAGGGGTTTACGCACCCAAAATCTTGAGGACGATGAAACAGAGGAAGGCGAAAAATATGAAGAGGAAAAGGTAATCGACGAACACGAAGAACTTGGTAGAGCCATGGTTCCTATTCTTCATCTTCTTCGTCTTGTCCGCATCATCGATCTGCTCAATCCTTGCCATTTTCCCTGCTTGGGGCTGGATTAATTTTTTCGCGGGATCTGAGGTCGGTGCTTTCAGATTTCGCCGGAAACTGCTGGTATACGTTGCCTTGGGTCTGAGCCTATGAGACACCGAGATCTACGACAAATTAATTAGAACTCGGTCTAATGCCCAAGACCAAGACCAAGACCAAGCCCAAGCCCAAGATCAAGCCCAAGCTACCAAATTTCTTTTTTCATCTCCCTTTTTTTAAGGTTTGGGTTTAGGGCTGAACATTCTGAGTTCTCGTTCTCCAAGTAATGTGTTTCATCTAGAGGTGCACTCTATTGGAGATATTTTGAGATTGTAAATTATAGGAATACTTACTAATCTTTAGGATCTGATTGTTACTATATGTAATATGTTTAACCTAGATAATAAGAAAGCCAATTATAATCTTATACACTGCTGGCTAGGGGTGGGCATTTCAGGAAACGGTTCGGGTTCGGGACGAGAATTGATCGGTTCGGTTCTTTCGGTTTTACAAAAATAGGTATCAATCGGTTTTTATATTGTATTCGGTTCGGTTCGGTCTCGGTATCGGTTCGATTTGGTTCCGGGTTTTATTAAAAAAAAAAGATAGATTTCCTTTAAAAGTATTCATTTTTTCGGGATTTTTAAAGTTCGATTCGGTTCAGTTCCAAAAAAAATCGATTTTCTAAAAATGGTACCGTTCGAAAATTAAGAACGATTTCGGATCGGAAAAAATACCGTTTTTTAAGTTCGGTTCGGTCCGGTTTCGAAGAACCGAACCGAAACGTCCAGCCCTACTGCTGGCTGTCTGTAAGTGTTGAGGCGGATATGTATAGGCATATTGACTCTATTTATACAATTTAGAGAAGTCCTATTTCTTATCAGCAACGGGTAATGAGATATCGGACCGGAAATATATGCACACATTATGCGTGTGGCAGGTGGATGTGTGACTCATCGAAGACTGTTGGTGCTTGGTTAGTATCAAGATCCTAAAAGAAATGAAGTTGGGTGACCAAAGAAATCGATCATGTTTATATTATTAACATATGATATTAATGCTTTAGTTATTGTCTTTTATGTGTCAATTATGTTGTAAGTTATTGTAAATTTTATGTATTTAAGTTTGTGAATGGTAAGGAACTGCAATATAGCAGTTATATGTATGTATTTATAAGTGTATAGATGTTATATGTATTTTGTAACTCCTTCTGATTATTCAATGCAATGAAGAAGAAGTTATATATATGTAGGTGTTCTGATAATTTTAGAAATAAATGTGTCTTTAACAGATGAATCTCTTTTGAGAGGAGAGTAGATAAAATTAACAATAAGATCAAAGCTTTAAGTGGTAGAAAACTATGAAGTTTGAGTTGTCAGAATGCAAGCGTTCATGAAGGAACCGATCTTTGGAAAGCAGTTGGGGAGGATTTCAAAGTTCCTCCATTACCCCACCAGATACGACAGCAAACCAATTTAAGATTTCCAAAGAGAAAATGACGAGGAAAGCAAAGGCCGAATCGTGCATGTTTGTTGCAATTTCTCCTCGATCCTCATCAAGATTATGAGGCTTGAATCGCGAAAAGTATGTGGGAATTTCTAAAAAAAAGGGTGTGAAGAGGATGCAAAAAATTGAGGATTGAAGGTTCTAAATTTATTGTGAGAAGTTGAACGACAGAAAATGAAGCAGAACGAGTTTGTGAAAGATTATGTTGATCATCTTATCAATATAATCATCAAGGTAAGAATTCTTCGCATTGAAGTCAATAATGATAAGATTGTATAGAAAAATTTTGGTTTCTATATCGGAGAAATTTGAAGCAACGGTGACATCTTTAGAAAACACTAAAGACATATCAAAAATCAAGTTACCATAGGTTTTTAGTATTGTTTAGACGCAAGAACAAATGAGCAGTCCATGAGAAATGAAGAGTCGGTGGGGAATTGCTTTAATGAGGAAGGCAAAAATAAACAGTGGAGAGAAAAATTTTGAACAATCTATTGAAGAAAACGAAGTGGAGTAACTCTTTTACGTCAAATGTTGAAAGTGATGGTTGATCGTGCTTTTGAAGGACCTTGGTCAAAGGAAGGTTTTGTTGGTGCTTGGTTTGTATCAAGTTCCTAAAAGAAATGAAACTGATGGCTTACGACATACCAAAAAAGTCAACCAAGTTTATATCATTAACATATGCCACTAATGTTTTAGTTATTGTCTTTTATGTCAGTTAATCATGTCGCCCGTTATTGTCAGTCTATGTAGGGGTGGACGTTTCGGGAAACGGTTCGGGTTCGGGATATAATTGATCGGTTTGGTTCTTTCGGTTTTACAAAAATAGGTACCAATCGGGTTTTTTATTGTATTCAGTTCGGTTCGGTTTCGGTATCGGTTCGGTTCGGTTCCGGATTTTATTAAAAAAATGATAGATTTCCTTTAAAAATATTCGGTTTTTCGGGATTTTTAAAGTTCGGTTCGGTTCGGTTTCGGGAAAATTCCGTTCTCTAAAAATGGTACCGTTCGGGAAATAACAGCGGTTTCGGGTCGGAAAAAATACCGTTTTAACGGTTCGGTTCGGTCCGGTTCCAAAGAACCGAACCGAAATGCCCGACTCTAAGTCCATGTATTTAAGTTTGTGAAACTGTTAGAAATTGTATGTGTTTATATAAAATTTGGTGATGTTGTATGTATTTTGTAACTTCTCTTGATATATGTAGATGCTTCGAGAAGATTAGTAAAGATAACGATCTTTTACGACGATAAAAACAGCGGATTTGGAGCAGTTTTTGGAGCCTGTTTGAATCGGAACTCGAGGATAGATAGGATTGGATCTTGTGATCATAAATTGCTTCGTCCATATGATTGTTTCAACTATCAGATGGTATGCCATGGTCAGTACAGTTGTATATAAATATCATATCATTTATTTAATAAAACCATGTTATTAATTATGTTTTGTGAATTTATTATTAATTTTGTTTAGTGACTTTGTTTTTTTATATTCAAAATATAATATATATAATTAGTGAATTTATTATAAACCTTGTTTAGTGATTTTGTTTTTTGATGTTCAAAACATAATATATTTGCATTTCAAGGGTTTCATTTTCCATATACATTATGTTTTGAACATAAAAAACAAAATCACTAAATAATGTTAATAATAAATTTATTACATATAATTAATTATATAGTTTTATTAAACAAATGATATGATATTTATATATAACTGTACATGATGTATTGATGGTTTCGTTATTTTTTTATGTTATTATTGTTTGTGGAGGTTTACGCTAAAAATATAAAAGTTGGTGTATTTTATTATCAAAATGAAAGTTTGTATATTTATTTGCCAAATACACAAAGTTCATATTGCCCTTATTTTTTATTTTTTTTAATATGTGTATATATATTTGTATGTACATACATTGTTTTTTTAATTTTAATTTAAAATCTCAGTTACCACCTAATTCATTAAAGTGTTACATTTCCCACATCCTCACGACTTCTTTCTTCAAACTATCGTTGCTCGCTAATTCTCTCTCCCCCCCCTCCCGATTCGCCCGTCGCCGAGCTGACCTCTCTCTTCGTGTCGGCCGTCTATCGCGTGTGCCTCAGGTTTGTCTTTAGGATTTTGGTTTTCGATTTATTGTTCGAGATTTCTCAGTTAGGGTATCGGTTTTTGATCTCATAGGTCTCGTTAGGTTAGCGTTTGGTCGATAAGGGTTCGGGGTGCCGTTGTTTCTGGTTTGTCAGATTTGCTGTCTTCACTCTGCTTCTTGTTTCTGGTTTACCAGATTTGCGCCTTTTCTTCTGGTGATGTTCACAATTTCAATTGCGCAGAGATCGATAACTCACCTACTGCAATCTTAAGGGATTGCCTTCTCAGAACAAGCCTTTCTCTATTAGACAAATCTGTGGGCCCAAAGGTCAACCAATTAGCTCCCGTTCCACTGTCCACTGGATCTGATATTTGCGATTCTGCTGATGATATTTCAAGTTTGTCATGGTTGTTTGTTATAAAAATTTTATTATTTGTATTTTGTCAAAAATGGTGGCCGAACTTTAGGTTTAGACAGAATCTTAGGTTGACACCACATCACTTTCAAGTAATCCAAGGGAGAACTCTCTACAACCTTATAGCTATCCCAGGAATCATTAGAGACTATAAAATTCCGTCTGCAAATTTTTAAATGATTAAGGGGAAGACAACAGGTAGTGTATCTTGATGCATTTATTTGGATGGTTGATGATTCCAGGATGGGTTAAACTTTTACTGTTTACTGATTTGTGTGACCTCTTGTATCTAATACTTGAGAGTTGAGAGCTTGATGGGTTCAATGCTGTATAAAGAATAAATTTGCCTCTTAATGGTGGCCGAACTTTAGGTTTGTCATGGTTGTTGGGTTCAATGTTGATGACATTTGCGATTCTGCTGATGATATTTCAAGTTTCTCATGGTTGTTTGTCAGAAAAATTTTATTATTTGTATTTTGTGAAAAATGGTAACCGAACTTTAGGTTTAGACAAATGTATCAATGTTTGGGGTTTGGGGTTTGGGGTTTGGGGTTTAGGGTTTAGAGTGTTTAGGGTTTAGGGTTTCAAGAATTGTGGCAAAGCAAATGCGGAAAAAAAATATGGCATTGATTAGCTTGCAGCAGACCTACTGCAGATTACTCTGAGGTAACTTGTTTATCAATCCTCCTGCAGTTTTTTTATACATTTTTTTGGAGGAAGAAAATTCGTTTTCAGGCTTGAGATGTCCAGGACATTATCTTTTTTTTTTTGTCTGAGGAGATTTTTGTTTTCAGACACCTTGAGTGTACTGTGTGGTCGAGTAATGTGGCAGAATTTTGCATATGAAATTCTCAGCTGGTAGTTTTTTTAGATTTGTCCTGCCATATCTTCACTTCTATCCAATTCATCTGAATATTTTACCCGGTACGACTTTCTTTTGATAGCTTTCACATTTTTATCAGATCTGCTCCTCTCCCATCCTCATGCAGCACAAAAAGCTCTTTTTTTCTTCTTTTTTTTGCAGTTTGAGATATGTTGCCGCATCTTTAGTTAACATGCTTATCCAATATGTGTTGCTAATACCAGGCGGCGTGGTGGGTGTGCCCGATCCAATTGGTTGTTTTGCTCTTGACTGGATGTGCAATGCAGAGATCACGCAGAGCTTTTCTTCTTAGAAGGAGAGTTTATGAGAACGTTTCTCATGGAAGGAACTGTTTCTACAAAGTCTCTCTGTCACTGGTTTGCCTCCTATGGGGGCTTCTTTTCCTCTCCACCCTATGGATTAGCCGTGGAGACGGTGACAGAGGTAACCCGCTAGTTTTTATTTTAGTTTTGAGACTCACAATGAACTATAGAATGTATACATACACAGAGAGATTACAAAATTGAAGATAGAGTTATTCTCCGTAGCATTTTGTCTTTTTTTCTCCGTCAGCAGATTGAGAAACTACTTTTGGCATTTGCAGATGCATCTTTAGTCTTTCCTGTCAGAGAAATCGATTCAGATGATAGCAGACTAGATGAGAAAGCTGAGAATGCCGATAAACCGCCATCGCTGGATTCTGATTCTGTTCATTGTGCCCTGGATTTTTGTCCTACTAGTAGTGATGATACAACCCCAGTTGAAGAAAACAAACACAGGGGCTATGTTAAGCAGAGTGAGATCAATAGCACACATTTTGGGAATGATATGGAAACCAAAGACAATGAATTTGTGAAGCCGAGGGAGATCAATAACATAGATTATGGGAATGATATAGAGAAAAAGGACGACGACCTTGTGAAGCATAGTGAGATGAATATCACAGGTTCAGGGAATGATATCGTGAACAATGTTTCCAAGCTTGATCGGCTATCTCGTGCTGTTCCACTTGGCCTTGATGAGTTCAAGAGCAAAACATTCAGCTCTAGAAATAAATCTTTGTCAGGTCAGGTCAGTGGCGTGGTTCACAGGATGGAGCTTGGAGGGAAGGAGTACAATTATGCCTCTGCTTCTAAGGGCGCAAAAGTCTTGTCTTCTAACAAGGAAGCAAAGGGAGCTCCAAGCATCTTAAACCGGGACAACGATAAATACCTCCGTAATCCATGTTCTGCTGAGGAGAAATTTGTCGTCATAGAACTTTCCGAGGAAACATTGGTGGATACGATCAAGATTGCGAATTTGGAGCATTACTCTTCCAATCTGAAGGATTTTCAGTTGCTTGGCAGCCTGGTCTATCCGACTGATACCTGGGTACATATGGGAAACTTTACGGCTGCAAACGTAAAGCACGAGCAGAACTTCACGCTGGTAGAACCAAAATGGGTGAGATATCTGAAACTTAACTTCGTAAGCCACTACGGTTCAGAATTCTATTGCACTTTGAGTTTGATTGAAGTTTATGGAGTGGATGCTGTGGAACGAATGCTGAAGGATCTAATATCCATCCAAGACAGCAGTATATTCAAAACCCCTGAAGGAGAAGCTGAGCAAGAGAAGAAGACAGTGCCAACACAGACAGCAGAGTGTACCAAGGGGAGTGATGGTGCTAACGGGAGCATGCTGAGTGTGAATGAGTCGGAAACCTCACCGGAGAGTGGGGTAGGGAAATCTGAAGCGATAATGGGAAAGCAGAATGCAAGCGTTCATGAAGGAACCGATCTTTGGAAAGCAGTTGGGGAGGATTTCAAAGTTCCTCCATTACCCCACCAGATACGACAGCAAACCAATTTAAGATTTCCAAAGAGAAAATGACGGAAAGAGTAAGCCGCTAGAGCCCGTGGAAGAGGTAAGGCATCACCAGCAAGGAAGCAGAATGCCAGGGGATACCGTTCTGAAGATACTGATGCAGAAGATAAGGTCGCTGGACTTGAATCTCTCGGTGCTTGAGAGGTACTTGGAGGAGCTGAACTCGAGATATGGGTCCATATTCAAAGAGATGGACAGGGAGGCTGTAGAGAGAGAGATGATTGTGGAGAAGATTAGGATAGACGTGGAGGGCATGAAAGAGAGCCAAGAGGTGATTGTGAGAGAGAGCGAGGAGATGAGGGAGTGGCGGAGGAGGGTGGAGGTGGTGTTGATGAGGGCAGAGACTGAAAAGGAAAGGGTTAGGGAGAGGTTAGAGGAAATGAAGGAAAAGGTGGAGTGGATGGAGAAGAAAGGTGTGATGGTGTTCACAGTATGCATTGGTGTCGGGGTAGTTGCGACCATTGCAGTGGTGGTTGGTGGAGGTTGGGGTGGTGCCGGGGCATGGCTTCTGTTATTGTTCAGCTCAACATTCGTTTTGTTTGTGTTGTCTCTCTGATGAGAGTTTTGTTCTTTGCGCCGTTTTATTCTTCCATTTGTGTTTGATGTTGGTTGTAAAGCCTTGTTAACATTAGTAGATGAATTTTGTCTGTACTTATTTTATTCTCAGGTGGTTTGTACAGCAGCTGAGAGATTCGTAAATTCGGTGATTACTTTCTGAATGCCGTCTATGCACGAGAATGAGTATTGAATGGTAGAAAACGATCAAAGCCTTTTTTTTTCCCCTACTGCTGCTTCAGGTTTTACCCTCCTTGACTCTCAGGTGTGAGGTTTCTCTGACACAAGTGGTGCCGGGATCATGATTCTTGCCCAAGGCCTCCTTTCTCTGTTGGCGATGGTGAAGATGCTGTATATGCTTCAGCTAATCCTCAGATCATCATGGGCAATGAAGGCGACGAATCTGCTGATGCAAACAATACATGTCTCCCCTGGGAACGACTTCAACTTCAGTTGCTGATGGTAACAATAAGACTGAAGAACATATGATTGGGAACATGGATGAGTTCAAATTATCATATACGGTCGATGTTTCTCGATCCGCTGACGGTGCCATATATATATATATATATATATATATATATGGTTTTCTCTATTCTCATCGATACTGTCCCTCATTGCCTGACCATTCACACAGACAGGGATCTGCAGCGCATTACTCGTAACTCTTCCATTCAAGTTGGAGATCTGAGCATGAAACAGGTAATATTTCGCGGAACAATCTGCATCGATCCCCTATACTCCTCACCTCCAAGCCTAAGGCTATTTCCCTTTTGTCATTCTGCAGGTAAAGAAACTAGATGTCTCACACGTACCCTCGAAGAAGCTTTGAAGGTAAGGCCTTGATAAATTTCTCTCCATGTTTTTGTTTGTAAATTACAACCAAGTGTCCGACCATGACATTATCACGAATTATGCTTGTGATGCTAAAGTGGGGCCACCGTTGTGTGAAAAAGGGCTAGCTCAGGATATCCTCTCAGTTGTAAGTTTCCAGCTATCACTTATTAGCATGTTGTGTGCACCAAGAGCTCTAATGCTAAGATATCAAGAACGTGTCCGCCGCTTACGCCCTCTAATTTTATGATAACTCAAGTGATTTCTCTCTCTCTCTCTCTCTCTCTCTCAATTATGTGCATCCTGAAGCTCAGCCAGTATTGTTGTTTATGCTTATAGCCTTTAGATTTATGGTTACATCTACCTTCAACATTTTTTTGGTAAAATCTACCTTCAAATTTTAGTCATGTGTTTTCAGATGGAGAGGTCCTGGTGTAACAATTGCGTGGTGTGCGAAAAGTGACAGTTTGGTTAGAGACATAATCAGACTAACACCAAACCTCACAGTACTCTCGTGTTCACGGAAAAGTTGGCTGATGTTGGACCCTCACCACACGTCATGATACCATGTTTTTGTGGCATTGTGATGGTGGATCCTTCTTCTAGGGAGAGAAACAACCTGCTGAGAATGAGGGGAGCTAGGGTGATGGAGTTTATCATCCCTTGATTGATGAAAGACAAATGATAAGAGTTCAATGTTTCAACAAGAAGGTGCACGCATGGACCGTTGACGATGCTGATCCAATCAGAAGATGCTTCTAATAAGGTTTCAGAAGTAGAAAATCCAGAATAAGAACCCTGTTGTGTTGCTTTTTTGAACCCCAAAGAAGTTGATTTTTGTGAGCTTCTCTTCTCACCCCTCCCCTTACAATTTCATATGAACAAAAGCATACCCATCCCTCACACATTACAGGCCTACATACACTGCAGAATTCGGTTACAATAATAGCTAAAGGAAAATGACATTAACAAGCCAGTGAAAACGCAGACCCACTTTTCCTCTTTTTCTCCAAGCTCCTGCACCTATCGTTACTCCTCCTCCTCTGCAGCTCTATTCTTCTTCCCTGCGTTCCCTTTCTTCTCCCTCACATACGCGCTTGACGGCTTATCAGCTTCATTTAGGTGTAGAAGCTGTTGTTACGTACCAACCATCCTTCTTGATTTTTGAAGCCCAAGCCCGTAAATTTTACGGGCGGGTTCGGACGGGGTATCGGGTTTCTTGATTTTTGAAACCTCAAGCCCGTAAATTTTACGGACGGATTCAGACCGGATATCGGGCCTCAGACTTTTTTGACACCCTTAGTTCGCCCCATCTTTTTTAACCAAAGGTGAAAGGTGAAATATTAAGAGACACGATTCTTTAGATATTTATTTTTGTTACAATTTTATTTTGGAGACTTCCGTTGGAGAATTTGAGATGACATTATAATGAAGAATAAATCGAATCTTTTTCTTTTTTAAATCCAATTGCCCATTCATCCGGCCAGAAATATCAAATCTTGGATCGTCAGAGCTGGGATGTCCCAGACAGTGTGAAGAAGCAGCCATCCATTTCTACTAGTTTTGTTTCTGATTGGCTGCGCGTGTTGTGCACTCTCGTGACCCCGTATTCGGCATGGAGCGATTACAGTCTCTCTCTCTCGCCCAATTTACTAGTAAACTACGTCTACTCTCTTCCACAGAACCGAACATTATCATTTGGCGTTCAGTTTTCCTTGGGCAAAGCAAAGACTCCTGTATACATTGTATTAACGTGATCTATACATATATATATATATATATATATATGTGGCCGAACTT